ATTGTGAGATAATACTGATTGTAATTATACTTGTTTTAATGTATTCTAAATGATTCGGAGGTGAGACTCTATGATTGATTGCTGCATTTTGGTAGTGTAGGGTACTCACCCTTACATTCATTTTTCAGGCAATCAAGACGATCAGCACCGGACTCGGTGAAGGGCGGATGGAACTGCTATAGGACTTAGAACAGTATTTTAAAATTTGTTGTATTTAAATAAGTCCTGTAGTGGTTATTTGATAATGAACTTGTAAACCTTTACTTTATTTTGAAATATTGATGGAACCATGTATTGAAGTGGTGTTTAAAAGTGAAAATTTATTATCCAAAATTTGTGAAAATTTATTATTTTAAAATTAAATTTAAGGTGTTACAATAGTAAAAGTAATATTCGCTTAAGCGATGACAAATTTGCTTAAGTGAATATTTGTTTGAACGAGTATTAAAATTATTAAGTGAAAATTATGTAGAAAACATTATATTTCAAACATCTCCACTTGCTTAAACAAGACACCTTTCATTTAAGCTAATTATAAATTTTTTAAATGAGATTGATTTTGTTTCAGTGAAAGGAAAATAGTTAAGCAAATCATGTGTGTGCAACTGAATTTTGGTCCACTTAAATGTATGTTATAGCAATTGAAAATAAAAAAATAAAAAATTGGTCATCTAATATAAAACATAAGTAAATATAGCTAATAGATTATATACATCAATTAATGTTAGAATATACATTTATAGTGTTTACATGATTACAATGAATAATGAACAAAATAAACACGGTACAAAATTCATTGAGGTTGACCAAGAATTGAACAAGTTATATCATTCAAAGGTTCCTATTAAAAGAAAAATAATTGGATAAAATTATATAATAAAGTAAGAAAATATACTTTTTTATTTTTAAGTTTTATAAATTTACCATTAATAATGTAATAAAATTAAATTGATTATTGAAAATATGAGGAGGAGGATAAGACGAAAATGTCGAACAATGGACATCACAAGTTCAAAGAAGTGGGTTGATATTCCTAAAATATTAATAAGTTAATGCATACATAGTTGATAAGAATGTAAAAATTGACATATTTATTGTTAAATGCATTAATGTATGTATCTCAAAATGTTGATTTTGCAATTAATATCTTATTGGATCATTCTTTTTTCTTTTTACTTGTAATTCAACTTAACTTTTAAATCGTCTATACCTATTCTTCTTTTATGTTTAGGCAATGCTTGAAACCCCTTGGTTGTGCACTATCATTGATGACCAATGTATAGACATCATCATTGTGACTCTCATTATTTTATTCTTTTAATTAAAGTTGTGTGATTTGATGAAATAGTCAAAGAAATTTATACCAATACATATCTCTTACAACAAAGTCAGATGGAGAAGTTTTAGGTTCGTAAATGCACAATCTTATATGATAAGAATACAATTAACACATTATTGGGAAACTCTCTCATCTTACAAGAAGGATATTTGTGCCACTACCAACAAAGTTGAAAGCGCGTTACTCGATTTTTAGATGAGAATGTAGCTGAGACATTGTGCATTTCAAACAAATCGTATGAGACAAATCATTAAGGAAAGCTAATAAGGTTCAAGAAGGGGAGTTTGAAGACTTTGGCACAAATATGGACCTCATTTATATTTACCAACATTGTTCTAACCACTCACAAATTATATGTATGTATGCCTTAGGCCTACATCATCTAAAACATTATAGAAAGGATAACATTGGACATTGCAATGGTGATATATATGAGGAGATTTCCCAATTTGTGATGTTGAATCCCTCCTATTTTGCAGTTGTTACAAAACCATTGAGATTCCCAGCATTGATCATTGCCTTTTGTGTTGCCAAGGTGCTCAAATACTAGACCCTTTTACATTAAATATTAAATTGAAAAGAGTTCACCAACGTCCAGTGCATCTAACAATTATTGCTCCAACTAATTGGAGCAGAGACATACACTTCTCATCTTTCTTCACCAGTACCACCAACAACATTACCACTCATCCCCAACATGACATCCATGAAGTGTCACCTCATTCAACATCTGACTCAAATACAATAACAAATGGAAGCCAATCATCGGACTAATATACACATCCACCACCAGCTGACAATAAACTATCGATTATACGTACATTTCAATGACTAATTATATTGCTTTACCTTATCCCAAAATCAAGAAGTCACTTTAACATTCTTGTGGCCTATACTTAAAAAAATTTGCAGAACATGTCTGATGACTTGGAGACACTCCTTCATTCTCATATGACCTCAACCAATATAAAGAGGACGAAGGAAATGAATAAGGAGACAAGCAACCACAAGCTAACGATGATGAGGCCACGCTGATCAAGGGATCACAAAAGAAGCTCAAGCTTAAGAAGATCAGGGTCACAAAGAGTAAAATACAATGGAGGGAAGAGATCATATCAAGAAGGATCAATCTCTACATGATTTTAATGTTGCTGCATAAGAACCATAATTTTAATTTTATTTTTTTTTATTTTATTTCAGAATTTTAAAATGTATTTTTTTTAAAAGACATCTCACCATTACAATTTAACTAAATTTTTTTTATATATAATATAAATATCTCATTCTCTTTTAAAATTTGTTGTATTTACTTATATTTTGTATTAAATGATTAATTTTTGTTATGTTAATTATTTTTAATTTTTGCAATATTTACTTAACGCACATATTTTACTTGTGCATAACGCACATATTTTACTTGTGCTATTTTCTTTTTCTTTAAACAAAATCAATCTTGTTTAAGTAAATAAAAATATATGAAATAAGGTGTTTTTATTTAACTTTTACTTAAAAAATTTATAATTTTTTAAATAAATTAAGGTTTGCTTGAACAAAATCAGTAAAAATATCTGAAATATAATATTTTCTATCTAATTTTTTTTAACAATATAATACTTGCTTAAGTGAATTTGAATTTGTTCTTTTTTAAGCGAGAATTTCTACTAACATTCAATATTCGCTTAAACTAATGTAAATTATCACTTAATCAAACTTAAGCAACCAAATTTTGCTTATATAATAATAAAAACAGAACATCTAACTTTCGTACAAAATAATAAATATACCGAAAGAATACAGATCCATTTTTAATTGTCCGAGGGATTCTAATGCAATCAAATCAATCAATTCGATCTAATCTTAATAATTTTGATATCTACTTTTAACTTTATCAATAATGTCACCGTTAACCAAATAAATGAAGTACACACATAAGGTACCTTATCGCATTAAAATAAATTTTATTTTTAATTATTTAATTATGTCTTCATTAATGAGAAGAGTAATCACATTTGAGACACACAACATTTTATAGCGAGTCACGTGTCACAAAGTTAATGCGATAAGAACAAAAGTACCCACACATATTAACAAATTTCTTTTAATTATTTAATCGTGTCTTAATTGAAGTATCGATTCATAATTTCGTAAAAACACAAAATTAAATATTAAAAACTTTTTTTTTTACACCCTCTTTCGTTTTTCTTTTTGTATTTTTTATCATATAATTTACGATTTGTTTCTCCATCTCTTTTTTAAATTTCACGTATCTCATATCCCGCTTCAAAGTAGGAGATAAATATTATTGCAGTAAAAATTCAACTTAAAAATAATGAATGAATGTTTCAGAAGTTAAGCTTTGCATATGAATAAAATTTTGTTGAAAAAACCAATTTCATCATAATATAAATATTTTTAATTAAAATAAAATTATTTTAATAAAAAATTAAAATCTAAAAAAATTATTTGTAAACATTTGAACTAAGTTAACACTTACAACATAGTCTCTCCTGTCTCAAATATAAATAAACATAAATTAAGATACAGTGGTCTAAAATATAAATAAATCTTAACTAATTCCGTACTTAATAAAATTATTTCTAAAATATATTTATTTAATTTAAATTTTTTTGAGATATAAGTCAATAACTCCATATCATTTTTTAAATAGAATAAGTCTTTTTCTTGCTACCAAAATTGAATTGTATTCTGTTAAGATGCTACATGATTTAATAATTTTCAGAACTTGGCTTTACATTCGGTAAAAAAACTTAAACTATCATGATATTTAATAAAAATGTTAAATTATCCTTAAATGTTATTAAAGAGTATAGTAAAAAATTTAGTTTAGTTTTTTTATAAACTTAAGAACATTGAATGAAATTAAATAATTTTTAATTAATGTAATTTAATTATTTTTTACTTATAATAGTACTTTATATCCTTTATTTCTCTTATATTACATTATAATATTTATTACATTTATTATCTCTCTCATATAGTATTAAATTATAATTGAGTTCCTACCTAAGAATATTTATCATATATATATATATATATATATATATATATATATATATATCTGATGTACATTAAGATATTTATGTATATATAATATTAAATTTTGATATTAAATTATAATTTTAATTTTTTATAATTAAAATTTATTTTTATGTAAAAAATTTAAAAATATATTTTATAAAAGTGATATATATATATATACACTTTCCTAAAAATTTTAGATTTTTAAAAAAAATTATTAAAAAGTATTTATATTTTCTTATAAAAATATTAAAAGTATAAAACATAAATAAAAATGATTTTATACTGATATTTCCTAAGTCATCACTTTTTTTAAAGAAGAATTTGAATTATAATAATAGAATAGAATAAAGATAAATTTTCATATTCTATTAATCAATAAATACTGAAAATAAAATAAAAATATCTTATTATATTATCTTGAATGCAACAGATAACCCAAAACTAGTCAATTTATTGCCCCATTCCGTTTCATCGATCATATAAACACAACAAAAGCACTCAATAAAAACACTCAAACACACACACACAGATATATATATATATATATACAGACGAAACACGCAGAGATATATATACAGACGAACTCCATTCATTGAGATTTGAGAAGAATTGTAGACAAATGTGGGCATTCAGAAGAAATGGAGTCTCTGGGTTTTCCTCATCTTCCACTGCCGAGGAAGTTACTCGTGAAATCGATGCCTCTGGTCTCACTGCTATTGTTACAGGTAATTGTTTTTCTCTCTTCAGTGTGTTTACCTTTTCTTTTATGAAAAAATAATAATAATTTGTTTGTGTATGACGAATCCATGCTTATTTTGTTCTGAACTATAGAATCCTGTTTATGAAAATAATATAAGTAATTAGAAGAATTCACACAATATTTATGAAACTAATTTATTAGTTTTATTAATCTGTTTTAATATATTTTGATACATGTTATTATTAAATTTATATAAAAAAGTTTCATATAATAAAATTTTCTTAAATAAATACTTCCTTAAATTATTTGTCCTTTTCTTTGTCAATATTAAATTATTTGCCTAAGTGCACCAAACCTGACGTTTCATATTTAGCTTTGGAATATTTGTGTGTGTGTGTGTGTTTGGTCAGGTGCTTTTATTTATTTGTTTGTTCTTTTAATTTTGGGTTTCGTTAGTAGGTAGCACGTTGGCGGGAAAAAAAAAAAAAGGAAGAATAAATCTATTATTTTTTTCTGTAAAAATGTTGATAATAATTTTTCAGTTAAATAATTTTTGTTTGATTTTTTTATCTTATAAACATGTTAATGATAAAATAATTTTTTTAAAATAAAAATGACAATATGCAAACAAGATTGCTGATAAATACTTTCTCTCATTATTATGTTCTGGACGAATTAAAAAAAAGTTAGCTTTTCACCTAACATGTCTCTGAAAGTGTTTTCAAACGGGTTCTAAATTTATAATATTACTCATTAAATGGTGTAAAAGAGAGTTTAAATTATTAATCTCTTTAATATATATATATATATATATATATATATATTATAAATTAAAATTATTACTCATTAAATATTTTAATTTAATTTATACATTTAATTATTTTTAATTTATATTTAATTTGGATTTTAAGTTTTAATTTTTGAATTCATGATACAATGCTTAAATTGAACATCAATTTTAAATACAATAAATTTTAGGATGTCCGAATTTAAATTTCATTTTTAAATTTTAAAGAGTTTAATTTTAATATATTATCAATATAAATTTTTCTATAATGTCAACTAATTAGATACCATAATAAATATAATTTTTAAATTAATTACTAAAAAATTTAATTATCCTTATTTATTGATGAGATAATTTATAATTAAACGACAGAATAAACAAATTGAAACCATGAATATATTTTAATTAAATTCAAATTTTATTTTATTTTTTAGTTTTCTATTTAGTTTAATTCATATTCGATTCGAGTCATACATTTAGATGTGGTAGATAAGTTTATCATTAAAGATTCTTTACATACATAAGACTCAAACTCGAAACTTTACTTCAACAATACCAAGCCATTTGTCAGTCGGACCAATCTTCGTTAATAAATTTTAATTTTGAAACCATATAAAAACTGTTTGCTTTATAATATTTTCTTTAGTTATAATTGTCATAAATTTATATGTAAAATGTATAGAAAAAAGTGTTAATTAAAGAGTGAGAGAGAAGAAAGTCCAAAGACAAGAGAAGATGATATTATCAATCTCTAGAGATGTATATAATATTTTTTCAAATTTATAAGTATCATAAAAAAAAAAAAGCATTTACTACGATACTCGAAAACTTGAGAAGACATTATATATCATTTTTAAATTAATAATTATGATTTGTCTAATATCTTAGAAATTAAAAGGTATTTACGTTATTTTCTAAATAAGTTATTAATTTTATTATTTTTTAATATTAAATTAACAATGATAATTGTTTGATATTCTACTTAGAAGAGAGTATAAGATATCTTCTTAATTTACAAGGCACAATATAAATTATAAAAAAAATTGTTATGATTCTCGTAAACTTAATAAGATATTATATACCCTCTTTATATTAATGATTGTAATTTCTCTATTATCTTAAAAATTAAAAAATATTTATGTTTTTTTTAAATAAATCACTAACTTTATTATTTATTGATATAAAATTAACGATGATACTTATTTCATGTGTTGAAGAGCATAAAATATTATCTTAATTTACAAGATATAATAAAAATAACTTTTTTTTAAACTTTTGATTTGTTAAAATAATATAAATATTTTAGATTAAAAAATGTATTAACCGAAGAATAACAATTTATATTATCTTGAACTACTACATAGATAAATAAACTTAAATGAAAATATTTTTTATTTAAATAAATAAATAAAAATATTTTTATTAATTTTGATGAATTTATTATTTAATTTTTATATGTTAGAATGCGTGTAAAAGAAATTAATAAATATTAAAATATATAAAAATACAAGGGATGAGTGTGTTTTTACAAATTTTTAACAAATTATTTTTAATTTTGATTAATTAGGACACCAATTACCATTTTCATGCTACCTTCTAGCCTATATATAAACCTTTCTAGAAAATTTGTCATAGTCCTCTTACATAGTCTTTGCAAGTTGTTTCTTGCACTGATTATTTTCTTATAAAATACTCTTAGGCTATGTAAGGGAGTTATGTTTAAGAAGAAAAGAGAGGAGAGGGAAAAGGAAGGGAAGGGTTAACCCTTGGTAGAGAGTTACTTAATTAGAATGTGAAGGGTTTGAGAATTTTTCAACCATCCAAAGCTCTTTCAATGCTAGTTTTTTGGCTTTCCAATGTAGAGGTCTTCTATGAATTTTCTTTCTTTTACTATTTCATAATTAAGATTCTAACATTTTTTTAAATATTAGTTTTTCAAGTGAGAATTTTTTTAAAAAATAAAAATATTAATTTTAAAATATTAATTTTTAGAAAAAGAAAAATATTTATTTTTTATAAAAATAAAAAATATAAATAAAAAATAAAAAATATAATAATATCTTATATAATTAAACTCTTTATTATCTGTCTTTCTCAATATTAAACATCCAAACAAAAGAATGATTTAATCTCCTTTTTTCTTCCTTGTTCCTCCTTCCTATCCCTCTTTTTCTTTCTTTTCAAACTCCCAAACAAAACTTTAATAGAGAAAAAAATTAATTAAATAAAAAAATAAAATAATAAATTTTAATAATGGTCGTCACACATTAATTCTTTTTTATTGTTAAATATAAAAATATTATTAAATTTTTAAAAAATTATACATGAAACAGTCAAAATTATAAGTATTTTAAAATCCATCCAAACTATTTAAAACAACTAATCAATCTATAAATTTCAAAAATTAAATATATTGTTGAATGAAAGAACTGAAAACTTAAAAGTTTACATTTTGTTTTACAATTTAATTGAGATTATAGCTCTCATATTCAAATTCAAACTAAACGAAATTGAATTATACTAAATTTATAAAATATTTTATTTTAACATTATATAAACATTAGTCTAAATATATTTTATTAAATATATTTATATTTTATAAAATATTTTGAAACAAGGACTTGAGTACTTGACTTTGTGTCCAGTTTTTTCCTCCATTGAATAGAAATATCATCAATAGACCAAGGAAAAATATTGAAATTATTTTTATTTGTATTTTATAATTTAGACTAAATTTTAATACATGATTAGATTGAACAACTTTAATAACTGTTTATACTTATTTATTTAATGAGTATTATCTTTAATGTAAAAAGTTAACCTTTAAAAATTATAACAATAGGGGCATCGAGTGGTATTGGTGCTGAGACTGCGCGTGTTCTTGCTTTGCGTGGTGTCCATGTGATTATGGGAGTTATTGATTTAATTGGTGCAAGAAATGTGAAAGATGCAATCCTTAAAGAGATTCCCGCAGCCAAAGTTGATATTATGGAGTTAGATCTTAGCTCAATGGCATCTGTTCGAGAATTTGCATCAAACTTCAATTCTACTGGTCTTCCATTGAACATTCTCATGTAAGAACAGCACATTCACGACATTGTCAAAATTTTCATGACTGTGTTTTCAACATAATTCTCCATTATCATCTCTCTCTTTATCTTTCTTTATACACACAATTCTTATCATTTATGGAAATAATGTATTAGTAATTTTTTGTGGTTTCTTTCTTGCTTGAAATTCTCAGAAACAATGCAGGAATTTTTGCAGCCCCTTTCTCATTGTCTAAGGACAACATTGAACTGCAATTTGCCATAAATTACTTAGGTACGGAACTTTCTAACTTCAAAGATATCACATTTTTATGAGCTTTTCGGTGTACCAGAAACGAAAAATATTATGACAAAATTTAAGTGCAGTATAAGTATTATAATCAAATTTAAAATTTCATCTTAATATTATGCCTAATAAAGTTTAGCACTGTAGGTTAGTACACTGTCATTTATTATTCGTACACGTTAAGTGAAATTTTAACTTTTGATTAGGAAACAACAATAATATTTATAATATACCATCGTTTTCTGTGAGGAACAGTGTTAGTTATGTAATAGCATACATACGTGGAACCTCTCTTTCTCTTTGTGTTAACAAATTATAAACAATTGTTACATGAAATATATGTGAATTCCTTCTACATTATTATTTTTCACAGCTTATGTAATTGAGTGATGGCTTTACATGAAGTTATATGTGAAATAAACTTTTCACAGGTCATTTTCTCTTAACAAATCAGCTGTTGGATACTATGAAGAAAACAACAAGAGAAAGTAAGATTCAAGGAAGAATTGTTAACGTCGCCTCAACTAGTCATCAATTAACATATCGTGAAGGAATCCGTTTTGACAAAATTAATGATCAATCAAGGTAAGAAGTAACTTAAACACATGCTAGGATAAATTTTTCTACCAATTTCCTTTTCATGGAAGAAGGGTTTATCGAGAGATAGCGACAACTATATAACATAGCATTATTTTCTTAGGCTCCATTTGAACGAGGAATCAAATACAGAGGAAAATATTGAAGAAGAAATAAGAAAAAAATATTTGACAGTTGAACGGATTGAAATAAGAGAAAAATTAATAAAATATTTCTTCTACTTTTTTAATGAATAAAAAAAGTAATTTTTTAAAAATAATTATAAAATTAAAATATTTAGAAAATTATTTTTTTATTGTAATAAAAATTGAGACATTATTAGAAGTATTAAATTCTATCAAATGATCATCGATGATGATTGCATGTATAATTTATTAACGAGAAATAATAATTTTTTTTGTCAACTTCCTATTTTCTTAAGTGATTAATTCTTAATATTTAAGCTAAACTACATCACTTGTCAGTAATGATATATGCTTATTGCATCAAACCAAGATAATTTTATAATAGAAAATTTAATTAAAGAATTTGAAAATGCGTTTTGTAATAATTAAGATTCAAATACAGTATATTTGTTCTAGGGGTATTCTAAAATTATCTGAACAGAGTTACATTGAGAGTGTTCTCAAGTGATCTAACATGAAAATGTTTTGTTATAAAATGAAACGTGTTCAATCTCAATCAGAGTCTAAAATGAGTTTATTATGAAAAGATGTAAAAATATTCTATATACATTAATTGTAGACAATTTGATGAATGTTTAAGTATGTACACGTCTAGATATTGAGTACGTTAATAGAATGTATGATAGAAACTTACATAACTCGAGGATTAAAGTCCATGACCTGTTATGAGAAATATTTAAAGTAAATCATGAGACATTCTATGAACTTTTATTAATTACATATATGTCAACTTAAGATAATATTAAAAGATCATTAAAGTATGTTGGTAATGAGTTAGGAGTATTATTTTTCAATGACAATAGGAAGTTGACAAAGTTGAAATACAAGCATTAAGTTCATTATTGTTAAGGAAAAAGTTTGCAACGTTCAAGTATATATCTATAGAGCATATTAGGACAAACTCCACTGTTGCAAATCCATTCACTAAAGCCTTACCATCCAAGGTCTTTCATTAACTAAAATTTAGTGTTTAGTATGATATTGTATTTATGATGAAACATTTGTGTAATCATTAATGGGTCTAGTCATTATACATATACCAAGGTCACTGTGATCCTTGATTGACCAAATTGTTAGAAGCATTGTTTAGTAAAGATAACTGTGTTGAGACCATACATTTATTTTATAATGCATGCGATTCTAGGGTGAGATTGTTAGATATTTATTTAACGAGTGACCTTACACATTTAATTAATCATGTGTTTTATATTTTAACTACAACATATTAGTGTTTTTTCAAATGATCTAATAAGAATTATTTTACTTGGATTAGCTTTTGTAGGAGTTATATAAAACGTATATGCCAAAAAACTTATTTTTATTTTAATTACAGGAAAAATAAAAATCAAAAGTCATTACTTTATGTGAAAGGTTATGTAATTATAATATTAGTAATTTTTATGATTTTAATTTTAGTGAATTATCGATGTAAAATTTTTTACACTATAATTAATTAAAATATATTATAGATATATTTTTTATATTAATTATTACAAAATTAATAATTTTTATTAATATAAAAACCCATAATTGAGTGATGATATATATATATATATATATAATATTATACTATCAACATATTAAAATTTTATTTTTTATATTCTATTAATGGTATCATATAAAGTGCCTCATTTGTGATATGTCTATTTTATTTCTAGCATTTAGAGTTAAGCATACAAACATGAGATTTATTATATTTGTGCAAAGGATAAGTTTCACTTGCTTTCTTGTAAGCAGTTACAATAGTTTGCTAGCATATGGTCAATCAAAGCTTGCCAATATTTTACATGCCAATGAACTTTCAAGATGTCTCAAGGTATGCTATAATAATTATTATGCAATAGCATGATTAGAATCAAGTATATTTTATTTTTATAAAATGAGAAAATTAGTTAATAATTTTTCTTACCATAATGAAAGGATGGATGTGGTTATTGATAATTTTTTTTTTAGATATTGATAACTATTATAATTTAACATTATTATATTAATTGTTCATTATTGCATGTTGATCAGGAAGAAAGGATAAATATTATTGCTAATTCTGTTCATCCCGGTCTCATTGCCACCAATATTTTCGTCCATAACCGTTTGTTGACTGGTAACTATCACATTTGTGTATTTTTTTTTATGTCTATTAAGTAATTACATACTTAATAATGGGATGTAGGATACCAAATAAAGTATTCTATCGAATTTTCTATTATGGAAAATATATTATTTTTTATTTTATTTAGCTGTGTTCTCAAAGTTTAAGGCATTTATATGCCACAAGCTTCAATTCCTCAACATATAATCTTAGGTATTATAATCGTATATTTTGTACATGAATATTCTTTAAAAGAAAAATAATATAATTTTGAATAAACTGGTTATTCTAAATGCAAAACTCAAACTTATTGAATAGTATTATTTCTTCAAGCATCACTGTAAAACAATTTTACATGGTCACCTAGATTGGTCTTTAATATTTCAAACATACTAAATAAATTACTTCTATAATTCATACGACTTAACTGCAACATCAACTTCATTGGTAGTTTTTTTTTTTTTCAAATATTATTTTCCATGTAGATAATGACAATAGCTAAGTTTTATGGGCATAACTTTGTATGATTTATGCAGTTATGCAAAAAATAGTTGGGAGATCTGTAATTAAAATGCTGGAGAGATTTGTGCTTAAGAATGTGCAGCAGGTAAGTTAGATCAATTATTTATAAATAAATGTATCAGGGTTGTTTTTATTATTTAATCCTCAAAAAACTATATAAAAGAACTCATTTATTATGTGATTCTTTTGATCTTTCATGTTTTGGTTTTACAACTTAATTATAGGGAGCAGCAACAACATGTTATGTAGCTTTGCATCCAGAAGTGAGCAGAATCAGTGGTGGATATTTTGTCGATAGTAATCTTGGCAAAGCATATTCCCAAGGAACCGACATAGATTTGGCTAAGAAACTTTGGAATTTCAGCATGGATTTGATTAAATAAAACACCATCTTCAATGTAACAAGAATATTATGTGTTTGTTTGAGAGTTTACATGAGTGAGAATAAAAAGATTTAAAGGGTAAGGAAGGAGAAATGAGAAGGAGAGTTAAAGTAAAATTTCTTAAATTAGAAAAATATAAAAGTGTGTGTGTTTGGATGAAATATTTTAGGTGAATAATAATTTTTTAAAAGAATTTGTAATTTTATAATTTGTAATTTTATAATTTAAATTTATTATTTAAATATTTAATTTTAAAGAATTTAAAATTTTAAGAATTTTAATGATGATTTTCACTTAACTAAAATTACAAAAAATTCTAAATCTTAACAAAAGAGTGAAAAATTAAAATTAATTTTTTTATTGTATGTTTCATTTAACTTTTTTATTACTAATTTTAATTTTATATTTTAACTAATTTTGTTAAATATAGTGATAATTTTTTTGAAAAAATATTAGTAATTTAATTATTCTAGAAGTTTAATTATTCAAATAAATCAAAACATTTTAAAATAATATATACTTAATTGATGTAATTTAATTTTTTTAAAATTTTAAATTCTATTAAAATTTTAATTACTTCCTATAGACAAAACATAAAAACATAGGATTAAAAGATTTTTTTAGAGAATTTATAAAATTTTTCTCTCTTTTCTGAAAATCTACAGAAAAAAATTATCATCATATATTTCTTTAATTTTCTCCTTGTCTATCTTAAAACTAATTCTCAAATGTAAGTTAAAAGAACTAAAAATATGAATGATCATGACTATTAATGTATACTTTATTATTATTCTTATAACATAATTTTCTCATTCAATCTTACAATTATCAATATATATTACCTATTCGTACTTAAATATTGTAATAAAAAACCATAGTTCAAGGATATGTGTACAATCTAAACAATTTGAAAAAAACAAAAGTTTGCGAGAGTCATGCCAGTGTGTTGAAGAAGTAATTTATTTTTTTTTATAGAAATTTCTCAAGTAATTATTTTATTATAAAAGTTGTATTTATTAACCTCTGTATTTAATAATTTGTGTTTAAGAGTATGCTAGCATACAAAAGTTAAAGTTACAACAAAATAAACTTTTAAATATCGGCAAAGATCATAATGACAAAGATAGAGATTTTAGTGACAATTATAACCTGACATTTATAATGGCCACTAAAATTAAAAGAAAAAAAGTCTACTCATTTTAGTAGCCTTTTAACTATGGCGGCAAAAAGTTCAAGAAAACTACTTTTGGCAATTTATATGACAAAATTAACTTTTAATTATTTTTTTTTTCATACTCGTTTTAGTAGCCTTCAACAATGGCTGCTAAAAGTTCAAGAAAATTACTTGTGGCAATTTATATGACAAAAAAAATTACAAATTTTACTCATAAAACTCAATAACTTAAATATATATGTTTCAAATCAACCATTCAAAGATTCATTCCTTAAAATAAAGTATTTATTGAAATTAAAAAGAAACATAAATATTATGCATTAAATTTAATTACTAATATCATAAAAGAACATAATAAATAGCATTTAATATATCATTTAGTATCATTTTGAGTCTAATAAAGATGATAGTGTTTGAGCACTAACCACCATTGCAAGTAGTACTTGAATTACTTAAGTGTCCTTGCCCTAATTATAACAGAATGGCAGCATTTTATACATATATGAGCAGGGTCACATATTAGTATAGAAGAACACTTGATTTGAATTGACATAAAAACGACAAAACTTAAAGGATGAGATGTAACAACAGAAGGGCAACATTGTATATGCCTAGAAGCTCTAAGAACTGCAGTTGTATCAACGGTTAAAAAGGAACTTTCTGTGCCAATTAACGTTAGCTTACCGAATATGACAATCCTTCCTTTTCTAAGAGTAGTTCTCCTGCTACATGGTTAACAACCTCTTTATTCATGAATGCAATTTCAACACAACCAACAATATAGGCATTAAAAATATCACTCACCCAACTTCTTCATAACCAACACCATGCCATTGCTTGCTTTCTAAGCAGTGAAATCAAAGAGATAGAAATGGAACCAAGTATAAAATAAATAAAAATAAATAAGCTCATAATGAAATCAATATCTACAAAACATGTACTGAGTTGCTTAAGCCTAAGCTACTGGTATATGCAACAAGCTAATTTTTCAATGGTTCTCATTTGATAAAGTTGCATCCTATATTAGTTTTTTAATAATTGATTGTGCAAATAATTTGTTGGAAAATAAAAGAATATTAAAGACAAACTTTTGGTACTTTTTAACTTTTTTTTTACAAGGAAACTGGTGATATATATATACACCAAATCTAAGACTTTCATTTAACTTAAATCTAATAGGTTATAATTTATTAGACTCAGATTGAGTGTAAGAGTTTTTAAACTTACACCGGTGTAAAAAGATCATTTTTTATAAATAAAGATTCCACAATTATCATATTTATTTATTTATTTATCGAGTGTCATTCAAATCTAAATTTCATATAACTTAGTAATCTTCATTAACATACACGTAATTACTATTTGTGAACCATGAGAGTGAGTGTCTTGTCCCATGATTAGGTTGTTAAGTTAGATTATGATTTCATTTTCCAAATCTTAATATTAATTTCATGTCGTACAAATAATATATTCCAAAACTGTATTCTATTGGTGTTTGGTGTTTTCACTTAATTTTGTTATAAAAAAAAATTTGGAAATGGGCATGAAAACCTTAGAATCACACTTCACTCTCATCTCTGCTATCAGGGATGAAATTTTTTAATAAATTCCGTCGTCTCTATCTATCTTTTTTATTAAGTTTTGTTCTCACCTTTGATATCTTTCTTGTCAATGTTCCCTCAAAAGACTAGTCGTTGTTTTATCAAATCTCACACAATTTATCAAGTCTCTATTATTGTTATGAAAATCACACCATATGTTTTTTTGTTTTTGGCTATTTTTTATTTTGAGATGCATGTGTTGTGCTTGCTAAATGTAAGGGAGAAAATACTAAAGAAAATGTTTTGAAAGTTTACCAACAATTGACAGTAATTAATTGTTTATATAAATATATTAATTGCCGGATTAGCTATTATTTATCTTTCACAAAAATTTTAAATGGAAGAATGACGGCCTATTCGCAATTAACTATTATTTATCTTTTCTAAAAGATGATACCTTCACATTAAAGTACGAGCAAAACATAAAGTAACAAAATAGTTCTGTGTTCTATTGTTACTTTAAAATGTTCTCTTTTAAAATTTAAATATTAAGTTGTGCTTGTATTCATAACAAACAATGATTGAAAGCCTCGAGCAAGATGGTGAAAGAATGAATGAAATGATAAAAGTTGAAACTTGAGTTTATATACTTGAAGTCATGCATGCAACTAATATCTTTTAATAAATTATAATGATAGAGACATAAATTGATGGTCTCTTACAAAATATTCAAACTCATTATTAATGAAACACAATATTTATTAACATTTGTATATGATAAATATACAAATGTCAATAAATTGTTCAATGAACACTTATCACATCACTTATCAAATAATAACAGATGGAGCTATTTGTATAGGAATGAAGAATATGTTGGGCATAAATAATTAGAATAAGATATTTAATGTTACTAGATATCTATTTATGTACATACATATATCGTAGTAAGAAAAATACCTTTCTTTTCAATTTTCTTAAAAAGAATAATAAAGCTCAAATGGATCAGATGTAAGTTGTCTTAAAAAAAGTATTATTTACTAACAATTTAACATTGAATTAAATTTTATTAGTATACATACATTTTTATAAAAAAAATTAAGTTGTTAATATAGACATTTTGAGAATGAATAATTTGGTATTACATACTAACAAATGATTTCGTATATTAGTGTGTGTAAGGGTTTATCCAAAGTGAAAATTTACCCATGTTTATCCTACAAGGCATTTGGTTTTCCTAAAAAAAATTTATCTTTTCAATCTTTTCATTAATCAATCACATTTTTTTTATATTTGGTACATCACAAAAAAAAAGTGATTTAGTAATAAAAAATTAATAGTTAAAATTCGATCGTTTAAATTAATTAATGACCGAAGCTAATTGATTGCTATAAAGCTAGTTGCAAGCATTTTAGCGATCGAATATTCAATTTATCGTTAAACTTTTAAAATAATAACTAAATTTTTCAATGACTAATTATCGATAATTAATTATAATAATTAATTACACAAGACGAAATTTAAATTTTGCATACATGAAGAACATGGTAATTACTTATATTACGTGGTAATCAATTACAAACATTTCAAAATTTAAAGTGAACCTTCTTTAATTCAAAACGAATTCACCCATCATAAATTTTTAAATTGCACTAGAATAAATAAGCTAAATCTGATTAATGATTTTTTTTTATGATCATGAACTCCAACAAATCGTAATTTTTAAAAATGTGACAGTAGTCAAACTTTTCATATTCAATGAACTCCTTATCTAAAAATTTGGGATCCAATATATTTTTAGACAGAAATTATCCAAAACATTTTTTATTAAATAGTTATATTATTTTGCTTTGCAACTAACTACTTCAAATGACTTAAAAATTGGCATAGTGTTCATTCATTAATGAAAATGGTAAAATGAAAAACATGTATGAAGTCAAAGAATTGGTCATGAAAACAACAACTTTGGATGGCAGTGAAGCTAGGGATCTTGCTTGAGAGACTATGCAAGGGGTGGGAGACAAAGATTGTGGACTTTATAAAATGATGATAAAGATGAAAAAAAAGAAGGAAGCAAGAGAAAAGGGTTGAATAGTTTTGTAATTGAATATTAAATTGTACATCTTGATTTCATTGAATATAAGGTCCAGTTCTACGTATACAAACAGTTAAATAACCAAATAAGTAAACTGCATGACAAGTAACCAAATTAATTAATCCATTATAACAAAATAATTAACCAACCTACAATAATAGGAGAAATAGAAAATTGTGTAACAAAATTT